GATAGACCTAACAAACTCTACTCACATGTGATGTGAAGTCCAGGAATCAAACCCTCGAATAAAGGGATAGACCTAACAAACTCTAGTCACATGTGATGTGGAGTCCAGGAATCGAACCCTAGAATCAAGGGATAGACCTAACAAACTCTACTCACATGTGATGTGGAGTCCAGGAATCAAACCCTTGAATCAAGGGATAGACCTAACAAACTCTACTCACTTGCCATGTGGAGTCCAGGAATCGAACCCATGAATCAAGGGATAGACCTAACAAACTCTAGTCACATGTGATGTGGAGTCCAGGAATCAAACCCATGAATCAAGGGATAGACCTAACAAACTCTASTCACATGTGATGTGGAGTCCAGGAATCGAACCCATGAATCAAGGGATAGACCTAACAAACTCCACTCACATGTGATGTTGAGTCAAGGAATTGAACCATAGACCCCCCGAAGTGAGAGGCTAGCGCACTACCACTACACAACCCTTGATTCCAGAATTTTTCTAATGATTGATTATTTTCACCAAGGGTTATATTGTTGTGCCGTCAGAGAAGAGGTTCCTGGTTCTCTTCACATTCCTCAAGAAAAACAGAAATAAGAAGGTTATGGTGTTTTTCTCGTCTTGTAATTCAGTGAAATAYCATTCTGAATTGCTGAACTATATCGACTTACCAGTACTAGACATTCATGTAAGTAAGAAAGGATGTCGGCATGTAGTTATCAAAATGAAAAAAATGGTTAGCTGAATAGAGTGGRAACATATGGTACTGACATGCTTTATGTGCATGTTTATGGTACAACAACGTGTAACATTGAAATGGCTTTCCATTGTCTTTATAGTAATGATATGATCATGAGTAGGTATGGCGTACTGTCTGCTGCTGGCACTCCTGTTGCTGTTGTACTTGCTGCTGCTATCATTGCTGTTGTTGTTCCTGTTGCYGCTGTTAATGTGTTTTTGATATAGTATAGTAGTAATAAATTATGCGTTCGGTGTGTATAATGAAGTAGAGAATAAGAGAAAAATATCAAATGCCCTTGGCRGGAATCGAACCCACATCTTCGGCATGTTTTTGATAGATGTTTTTTCACATTGCTGCTGCATTTGCTACAGCTGCTTATTTTGTTGCTACTGCTTCTGTAGCTGCTGTTGTTGTTGTTGCTATTGCTGCAATTGCTTTCATTGCTTTTCCTGCTTCCATAGCTGGTTTTGCTCTTGCAGTTGTCATGGAAATAAATTGTGTTTATGTTAGATAAAATATTCCACACCTTTCCAGGGAAAACAAAAACAACAAAAAAGAACCACAACGTTTTTTGAGTTCTGCAATGCAAAAGCAGGGACACTTTTGTGCACAGATGTGGCTGCAAGAGGTCTGGATATACCAGAAGTAGACTGGATTGTACAGTATGACCCCCCAGATGACCCCAAGGTTAGTTTGCCCCTTCTCATTATGAAACATACTCATCAGTCATTCATTCAGTCAGTCATTCAGTCACTCA